GAAGGCTAAAATACGCCGATTTTTCTGTAGATAAAGTAAACCAAAGGAGGCTGGAAGAAAACTGTGACATTAGTGATAATTTAATTTTAACTTTTTTATGGAGGGGCTGATAGGATGTCCTTTGCTGCTTATTTTAATTCAGCTTAGATTTATTGATATAATATGAACTCAACCATTTTAAACTTTCAAGGCAGGGGTTTCGTCTTTTGTTTTATCTTTCTCTTAAGCAATGAACATTAAATATTCTCCTGTTTATATTTGTTTCACTGGGATCTGCTGCATAATACATTCTGTAACCGCTTTAGCAAAGGACAGAGAGACATGTCCAACAAGGTGCAACCACAAGGAGTATCTGTAATCAATTCACAACTCTGACAGGGGCGAGAAATCCTCACCTCATTACTGAAGCAGCCAGTTAATTTAAAAAACAGCCATGGTGACAGCATAGGTAAGGGATGATGATGATATGCAGGAAGGAGGAAAATATTGGATTTTGTATTAAACATAGTAATTTGCAAAAGTGTGAATGAACCTTAAAGTTTTCATATACACTGCAGTGCATATTTTGGGGGTTATTTACTTGATAGATATGTAAAAAGTAGACCATTATTAGGAAAAATATATTTAGATATGGTTTAGGTTTTTATTTTATCTTTAAACAATTCTTTTGAAAAACATAAAAATCTTGAGCAGCAAAAAGAACCTATTATTAATCTGATTTACAAATCTAAATAAATGTATTTAAGTCCTTTGATTTTTTCTTCTACTATATTTTCACCGTCCCATTCTTTATTGTATATTAGGCTTTGTCTCGATGATACAAACAAAAGCATACAATGCTAGCAGGGGATGGGTTAAATGCAGAGTTCATATCATTGTTCTGTACTGACAATTCAACATTGTAACGACAATAAAAGCTCCAATAACACAAAGGAAATACACCAACTGTGTTTGGAAAGCACCTGTGCAGTCCATAGATATCTGTTGGAGAACCTTGGTAATCAAAGACTGTCATGAAGACCAATGAACACAGCTGACAGGTTGGTTGGAAATTTGTTGAAAAATTAAGGGCAGTTTTAGGTTATGGAACAATATCACAAACTATACATATTTCAAATTTACTGTCCATTACTTCAAAAATATAGAGTTCAGCAAAACTGGAAACTGGGATTACTGGGTAAGGAGATCACTAATCAGAAAGGTGTTCAAGATGCCTAGATCCCCTCATGTTGGAGAATCCAAAAAACATATCAGGGACACAACAAACGTGAAAAGGAGGTGATTTTTTAAAATGTTTTGAAATTCTGATTTATTGTCTACACCAATTTAATTCAGATTGGTCTACTTTTCAATGAAAATAAGTAAACATTCTAATCTCCAGATGCTGCGAAAGACCTGCACCAAGAGGTATAGCTGTTTTAAAAGGTACTTAATTCAATTCAGTCAGTTTATTTATAGAGCGCAACTTTACAACACGTCATATCAAGGCACTTTACAGAGACAATACCGTTAGATTGATTACTTATTTATTTTTATTTTATTTAACCTTTATTTTACCAGGAATTACCTTGAGATAAAATCTCTTTTTCGAGGGAGACCTGGCCAAGAGGCAGCAGTACAGCAAGGCGTATAAAAACACAGAACAACATAATAAAATCAATCATAAACTAGACTCTAGAAAAACAGTTACAATTCTCTGTGCAAGCGGTTTTCAATAGTGATTTAAAATGCTGTAGTGGAATAAGAGTCCGTAATTGCAGGGAGTTTTGAATATTGTGCCACGACCATGGTGCTGCATAGGAAAATTATGTTTTGCCAAGATCTGTGTTGATCCTGGTATTAGTGTAAAGAACAGGACTTGAAGAGCGTGAGTTGTAACCACTGTTAGCTACAGACATGAGGTGACACAGGTATGGAGGGAGTTTACCCAGGATGGCCTTGTAAATGAAAGTAAGCCAATGATGTTGTCTTCTGAGGCTTAGAGAGGGCCATGAAACCAGAGCATACAGTTCACAATGATGAGTCCTGAAGGCAGAGTTGGTGATGAAACATAAAGCACTGTGATAAACTACAGGTGCTGGTCATAAAATTAGAATATCATGAAAAAGTTGATTGATTTCAGTAATTCCATTTAAAAAGTGAAACTTGTATATTATATTCATACATTACATACAAACTCATATATTTCAGATGTTTATTTTGTTTAATTTTGATGATTACAAATGACAACAAATGAAAATCTCAAATTCATCATATCAGAAAATTAGAATATTGTGAAAAGGTTCAAAATTGATGGCCCCTGGTGCCACACTCTAATCAGCTAATTAACTCAAACCACCTGCAAAAGCCTTTAAATGGTCTTTCAGTCTAGTTCTATAGGCTACACAATCATGGGGAAGACTGCTGACTTGACAGTTGTCCAAAAGACGACCATCGACACCTTGCACAAGGAGGGCAAGACACAAAAGGTCATCGCTAAAGAGGCTGGCTGTTCACAGAGCTCAGTGTCCAAGCACATTAATAGAGAGGCGAAGGGAAGGAAAAGATGTGGTCGAAAAAAGTGTACAAGCAAGAGAGATAACCGCACCCTGGAGAGGATTGTGAAACAAAACCCATTCAAAAATGTGGGGGAGATTCACAAAGAGTGGACTGCAGCTGGAGTGAGTGCTTCAAGAACCACCACACACAGACGTATGAAAGACATGGGTTTCTGCTGTCGCATTCCTTGTGTCAAGCCACTCTTGAACCACAGACAGCGTCAGAAGCGTCTTGCCTGGGCTAAAGAGAAACAGGACTGGACTGCTGGTGAGTGGTCCAAAGTCATGTTCTCTGATGAAAGTAAATTTTGCATTTCCTTTGGAAATCAAGGTCCCAGAGTCTGGAGGAAAAGAAGAGAGGCACTTCATCCACGTTGCTTGAAGTCCAGTGTAAAGTTTCCACAGTCAGTGATGGTTTGGGGTGCCATGTCATCTGCTGGTGTTGGTCCATTGTGTTTTCTGAGGTCCAGGGTCAACGCAGCCACATACCAGGAAGTTTTAGAGCACTTCATGCTTCCTGCAGCTGACCAACTTTTTGGAGATGCAGATTTCATTTTCCAACAGGACTTGGCACCTGCACACAGTGCCAAAGCTACCAGTACCTGGTTGAAGGACCATGGTATCCCTGTTCTTAATTGGCCAGCAAACTCTCCTGACCTTAACCCCATAGAAAATCTATGGGGTATTGTGAAGAAGAAGATGCAATACACCAGACCCAACAATTCAGAAGAGCTAAAAGCCACTATTAGAGCAACCTGGGCTATCATAACACCTGAGCAGTGCCACAGACTGATCGACTCCATGCCACGCCGCATTGCTGCAGTAATACAGGCCAAAGGAGGCCCAACTAAATACTGAGTGCTGTACATGCTCATACTTTTCATGTTCATACTTTTCAGTTGGCCAACATTTCTATAAATCCTTTGTTTTTATTGGTCTTCAGTAATATTCTAATTTTCTGATATGATGAATTTGAGATTTTCATTTGTTGTCATTTGTAATCATCAAAATTAAACAAAATAAACATCTGAAATATATGAGTTTGTATGTAATGTATGAATATAATATAAAAGTTTCACTTTTTAAATGGAATTACTGAAATCAATCTACTTTTTCATGATATTCTAATTTTATGACCAGCACCTGTATGTCCAGGGAGTGGAGAGCTGAGGAGGCAGCATTCATATATATGATGTCTCCTTAGTCCAGAACAGGAAGGAAGGTGGTCTGAACAAGTCTTTTCCTCACTGAGGGAATCAAAGAGGATTTTTGTCTATAGTAAAAGCCGAGCAGGGCTTTCAGCTTTTTTAACATATTATCTAAATGTGTTTTGAAAGACAATTTGTCATCTATCCAGATACCCAGGTACTTATAACAGGACACAATCTCAATTGCTTCTCCACTTAAGGTCTTAATGCCGTGATGCTGTGAGTTTTGGGAGCGAGATTTAGAGAATGTCATGAATTTTGTCTTTTTTACATTTAGGACCAACTTCAGCTGATTTAGGGAGACCTGAAGTTGATGGAAAGCAGACTGAAGATCATTCAAGGCATTGTTAACTGAAGAAGCAATTGAATATATTATGGTGTCATCAGCATATAGGTGAAATGTAACAGATTTCAAGTTATTTCCAATGTCATTTATAAAAATAGTGAACAGGGCAGGTGCCAAAATTGAACCTTGAGGAACTCCCTTAGTCACTTCCAAAAAGTCAGATTTAAGTCCGTCCACGTAGATACATTGTGTTCTGTCTGAGAGATTCCACGCTTGCAGAGTCTGGCTAAAAGTAGTTGGTGGTTGACAGAGTCAGATGCCTTAGACAAATCCACGAAAAGGGTGGCACAATGATGTTTTTTGTCTAAGGCATTTATTATATCATTTAAAACAGACACAGCAGCTGTTATGGTACTGTGACCTGCTCTAAAGCCTGACTGAGTTTCACACTGGAGGTTGTTATTCATGTGGCTACATGAAAACTGTATTGAGATTTTATTTTAGTTCACTTAGTTTGTGTTGTATTTTTGGTCTACCTATGGAAAAGTTAAACTATTTAGAAAACATGTTATAAAAACAAAAACTTTGTTTTCTTTAATAAGCACTTAAATATTGCTATAAGTCAATCTGGAGAAAATCTAGTTTAGATTCTAATCCATTGCTCTAAACCCTCTTGGTCTTTGTGGCATTGCTATATTTTGTCAACTTCATATCCTAAATTTGAGGTTAGTATTATTTTGCTGATACATTTTAAGAAACATGTACAGCGATAAACGTGCTGCTAATATTCCGGTGGTGGGAAGACGAGCTCTTCAGAAAGCAGGGTGAAAAATAATCTATTGGCGTAAGATGAAAGGAAATGACTAGAATACAAGCTGGTGCCTGTCATCAGCACTCATGAGCTCTATGTGCTCAGGCAAATTGAAACCCCCTCAGGCATGACGATATGAGGACGTTTTGTGTGTCCAGGTGGTCCTGCAGATGGTCGACTTGTCCCTGGTGACCAGCTTGTGAAGATCAATGACATTGCTGTCCATGACCTAACACCAGAGCAAGCTGCTGAAATAATCAGGTCTGTACATGCAAACACAAAACACTGGGTAGGGTATCTGAATAGTGCTGCTTTTTCTAACATGGAGCTCCTGTTGAAATGTTTCACATTAACAAACTCAGTTTTTGCTGTTTCAGGGAGTGTCAAGACACACTGACTATGACTGTCCTGAGGATCATAAAAGTAAGTCTGCTGATATAAAATGTTCCCTCTATCAGTCCATTCATTGACTATACCCTTTGATCCTTGCAAAGTTTTTGCAGTGGGGGTGTTGGGCTGGTGCCCTTTTACCCAAAAGAGAAAATGACACAGACTCTTATGAGCTATCAGCCAATCAATCTAATGGCATGCTTTTGGACACTGGAACCCACCCATTCACTGGGAGAACATATAAATTCCATGCAGAAAGAACAATCTTGAATGTTAAACAAAAATAAACATTTGTTTTTTTAGCTTGACCTGATTTCCCTTCAGGGTGTGAGATGCACAAAAATACTTACAGGTTGAGGCCAACTGACAGAATTGTGCTAACATCTATGACTTCATTTTTTCGTGAAACAATGATGTTAACCACCCACTGTGAATCATTTAGATAATGTTTCTCCTAAATTTGCATTATATACCAACTCTGAAATGTAGACTGTGTAACAGCTGAAGAGTAAAATGTATCTTTGTTAATGCAAGCTATTGCGGTTGAGTAGATCCTTCCTTCCTTCCTTCCTTCCTTCCTTCCTTCCTTCCTTCCTTCCTTCCTTCCTTCCTTCCTTCCTTCCTTCCTTCCTTCCTTCCTTCCTTCCTTCCTTCCTTCACTAGTTCAACAACATGACTATCTATCCTAGTATTTGTCATTTTAATTGATCTAAAGTTTATTTATTGTATCGATCAACTGCTGATTAATGGATAAGAGGCCATTTTCTTAAAAACCTTTGTTAAAATATCCTTAAAATTCCAAATGTGTTAAATATTGACTGAATTTTTACAAAGCAGCATTTTTAAAAAGTGCTGCAGGAAGCAGCACATGGGGGTTATGATTGCTCTCAGATGAATGTAGAAACTTGGCTCTATACAGTAAAGTACCTGAACACCAAAAAGCCATAGTGTTTATTGTGAGCATGCCATTTACATTATGTTTCAAACGTTTCACATAATACCCCTATCTTTTCTGTAATCACTTGCCTACCTTCCAAGCACAGGAGAATATGCTGCTCTGTGATGCAACACTGTTAAAAGGTTGCCCTTTAGGTGATAAGTTAAGGATTGCATTAGGTGTTAAAAACAACCTCTGTGCATTCTCCATCACTGTTGCCTAGCCATTAAATAATCCTGGACTGTACTCTGGATTGGACAATATTTTAGCTCTACCATACCTCTACTCTTGCATCGCTTTTCTTACAAATACCACTGAGGTAGCACAGTTAATTACGACACCTAAAGTAATACCTTTTACGCAGAGGTTAATCCAATAAACCATTAAGCGAAAATAATCATAAGTCCATTGTTTATTTACATCCCTAGCAGTCATGCATATTATACAAAGTAGAATACTGTGTTAATGTATTTGCCTAAGAATACATTAACTGTGTTCTATTATTTTATCCCTAATGTTAAACAAGCGCAGAAATATAACCAATCTTTTAATAATTACATTAGTTTAGAAAGTCTTTTGGATTGTGGACAATTTCTTCCTTGAAATATTAATTTTAACCTCCCAATATAATTTAAAATAGAAATGAGTTGTACATTGTGGAGAGTCTGATTCCTTGTAGTGCTTTAGAGTAAATTAACAGGATAGCATGTTTCCAGTGCAGCCTGAACACATTCACTGTCTATTCAGCTGGGAATCAGAAATGCTGCAGTCAGCAGAAACATTAATCTGGAACTCTGCATCTGAGCTTGAGGTGTACCTGATACAGTTATTTGCCCAGTTTAGTTCCCAACACTTTATCAGAGTTATCGATGGCAGCATGCTAAACCCACAGGAACTCCCCCACAGGTAAAAATCTACACATTTATCCAGAAAAATCCCATGGCTGATCATGCCTGGTGCATTGTTTATTGCCTGTACAGTACATGCATCTCACTTTGCATCTGTGAAAGTGTGTTCGCATTGTGATTGATTTTAGTAGATAATGGTAAATAAATGGCTGCTGTTCAGTGAGTCTCATGAGGAGTTTGTGCTGATGGAAACACTTTTACCAAGTGATTCATAACTCGTGTCTCCCTTTAATAAATCATTACTGCGATTGAAGGAATCTCTTGAAGATTGAGCCTTATTAATGTGTTTTCATCCCAGGGCCCAAAGTCATCATTCATCACGCCTGAAAAACGGGCCAAGCTAAGGTCCAACCCCGTTAAGGTCCACTTTGCTGAGGAGGTTGAAGTCAATGGACAGTCTCAGGTAGGTTCTAATGTCATTAGGCAAAAAGCATTGGGCATTTAATCTCAGGAGCTTCTATGAAAATCTGCATATTTGTCTCTTTGGTTTCTAATTTGATTTATTTTTTCTCTGAAAAAAAAAACATTCTCTATCATAGGTTTTCATCATATCACAACTGTCTGTTACAATGATGAAATAGAATTGAACTTTTAAGGAGAAGTGGAATATATAAGAGGAGTCCAACTTAATTCACAGTTCATTGCCAACAGGCTCAATAATTTGACTTTTAATGTTACTAAACTTGTTACAGTTGACATCCCTTATTTGTATATTAAGAAAATAGGATACAAATTACGACCTGTTTTAAAAAAATAATAATAATAATAATTGGTTGTAAACTTGCATTTATTTGTTCCATTGTGCAGATCCAATTGAGTTTCTGAGACCAATCTGTTGTTGATGGAGGTTTTCTTTCTTCAAGGTTTTACTACTACTAATAAAACTATCCTTAAAATGTGTATTTTCTCATGCCTCTTTAAATATACTCCCCAATATAGCACTAGAGCTTGTGGCTCCAACAGTTTTTCTTTTCTGTATGTTAATCTGTCTATAAACATGAAACTCTTCCATATTGAAAAGGCTTGTAATGCAGACAGATGGGACCCGAAGAAAGGTTCATAAACAGTGTTTTTAAATTCTTTAGCTTTTAGAAAGGCATTAAATAAAAATCTCATCACGGCTTTTAAGACCTAGGAAATAAATTCGTTGTTTTGTTTTTTAATTCAGTTAAATCACTTTTTATACACGTTGCACCAATTCACAACATGTCATGTCGAGGCATTTTATAGAGTGAGTAAAGACACCCAGCAGATTGCATCAAGTCAAAGACTTGCAACATGTACTCATCCTTATTGTGCACAGTTCCTTGCATTCTGTCTTTGACTTTGCAACAATCCCATTATTTACAGATACACACATTTTTTCTTTACAAATTGCTTTAACTGTTGATTTATATTGTTTTTTGTTTTGTGTGTATATGTTTCCTTTTGTTTTGCTAGATGTAAAAACAGCTGCATGAGAAAAAACCCAGAAATTGGAGCGTCCATTAGTAAAGAGAAAGAGAGAAAATGAGGATCAATATCTAAACCACTCTAAAGCCTTATTTTCTGTGTTTAGAAAGAAAAAAGAAGAGAGATTTCGAGAGGAGATGGGAGGAATCTAACTACTACTTTATGTTTGAACTTAAAAATATGCCTCCATTAATGTTTTATTGCATTACATTGTCAGTGGACGAAAAAACACTTTCCAAAATAATAAGAGAGCAGGGATGACTCACTACAGAGACCAAGCTGGATATAGAAAAAATTGCCAGAGAATGTAATGCAAAGAAAGGAAAGAGGAGAAGAGAAAATGTTTTGACTCTATTTTATTATGTCATGACATGTAAAAATAAAAGGTAGAGCGTTAAATATATATGGTGCGATTATACACAGTTTCGGTATAGCATTAGGGAAGAAGATGTTTCGGAATCTGCTGGACCTGCATTGAATGCTGCTAAGCATCTTCCCAGAGGGAAGCAGGGGGAACATTCCATGGTGGGGGTGTGAGGTTTCATTGATAATGTGATCAGCTAGAAATACATGTTCCAGAAGCAGGACGGGTCTAGAGGGGTGGGCAGGGGGGGTGAGGGCCCCCATTAGCCAATCATTGCCCACCCCTAGGCACCCCTACCAAGTGTTCCCATGAGGATGTAATTCACCAGCTCAGGAACAAGAGGTTCTCTTCTAAACCAGAGTTGGCAGCACAATACATTAGGAATGTCCTAATTTGGACAGCAAGTGGAGGAAGACTATTCTAATACATATTTTCATTAACCATCAGGTTGGAGACAAACGTTAGAACCACCCACCTCAATAACATTTTTAGACAGAAATGTCGAAAAATAAATATATGAGGAAATGTAAAAATACAGAAAGAAATGCGGGAAAAACTTAATCTTGAAATAAAAATAAGTGAATGTATAAATAAATATCTAAATTAATACATAGAAAGAATAGAATTAAACCAATCAATAAATGTATAAATACTACATGTTGGCAACGATTTATTTTCTTTAATCTAGATTAATCTCACTGTAATCTTGGAGTTAATGTAGATTAATCTAGATTAAAATTGCTCATTTGAATTCTGCCAAAGGGATTCATGAATTAGAATCTGAAAAACAAGGTTTTAAGTATAAATGAGATGAAATCATTAAATAAGATTAGGAAGAATAAAATAAGACAAGAATGACATGTGTTTGCTACCTAAATAATAAGTAAAAATAAGTATTTAAAGCCAGGTGATTCAGCATACCAGGGGCTCATCTCCTGCATCACCTATTACCACAAAAGCTACATTTTGAAAAAGCGTCCCACTTTTACCCACATTCATCAAAGCAATCATCAAAAAGCAAACATGGTGGTGGTTCCATCATGCTGCGGGGATCTTTTCATTGAGTTGCAACAGAAAAGCTAGTCATGGCCTCATAGAAGATGGCTGTATGAGAGCCCAGGGCAAAGCCTGGTGTAAGCCTGATGGCGTAAGCACGTTCTTAAGAAGTATGTAAACAATTGCAGCACCAGATAATTATCATGGGGGCAAAGGAGGGTCCTGAGTTTTTACAGCTGCGTCCGATTAACTGTATCACCACAAATATTAGTAGTATATATACAAAGTACCTGATTAAAAGCCATGGATAACTTTTCCTCCTTTTGTAGTTGCAGTGTGACAAAGTTTGAAATGGTTCAAGGGTTGTACACTGTTTAAGGGATTGTACTAACCTGTATTCTCTGATCCTGATCTTATTGTTGCTTTACAGGGGAATTCTCTGCTCTTCCTGCCTAACGTTTTAAAGGTGTATCTAGAGAATGGACAGACCAAGGCTTTCAAGTTTGAGATTAGCACAACCGTCAAGGTATTTTGAAGTTTATTATGAGTAGCTTCATGAGATGACACAGTTATAAAAATTCTGGTTAATTAAGATTTTTTTTTTTATGAATATGTTCTGAAATGTAAAAAAAAAAGTCTGTAAATGAAACCTTTTTTTTCACATCAGGACATTGTGATGACGCTAAAAGAAAAACTGTCCCTGAACCGTATTGAGCACTTCTCCCTGGTGCTTGAACAGCAGCACAACAGCAGTAAGCTATTGCTGCTACATGATGAAGAGAGGATACATCAGGTATTACAACAAGTTGGGAACACATTTAAGATTTCATCTATTTTTGCAAATATAAATGTTTGATATGGTGCGTTTTCAGGTGGTCCAGAAGAAGGAAGTTCATAACTACAGGTGTCTGTTCCGTGTTTGTTTTCTGCCCAAAGACTTCAAGGCACTGCTCCAGGAAGACCCCTCTGCTTTCGAGTATCTTTACCTACAGGTAAAGCTCCTGGGAAAATAACATATTCAATGATAATGATTTTTTTAGGGATGCACGATATAATCGGCCCCCTATCGGTATCGGCTTGTATCAGCCCTAAAACTGAATATCGGACATCGGCCACCCCCCCGATATTTAACCCGATATTTGATCAGCTTCTGAGTTTCTAAAGTCTAAAAAAAATAAATAAATACTACTTCTTCTTCTTCCTCAAAAACTTCTTTTTTACAGACTTAAAAACTTCTAAAGACGAGGGAAAAAATATTGATACATTAAAATATCACAATATCTTCATATGCTGATATATTGCCATTCAAAAACACCATATCAATCTCTTTTTTACTAATGAAATATTGCTATATGTCATCGTTATGCTACGAAATCCCCCGAAAATTCACGAAATTTTGCCATATTTTTCTATGTTGATATATTGACGCAGTATCGATCTATTTTACTAACAAAATCTCACAAGAATTTCCAAATATCATGAGAGTTTCTAACAGAACGATGAAATTTCACGAGATTTTGAAAGTAAAATAGATCGATACCGCGTTTTTAAAAATCAATTTGATATCAGCATACTGTATGAAAATATATTTGAGTATATTATTTTTCAAAGTGTCAGAAACGGATAACAAAACTGCTATTTTCAATGACTACTTATTTTTGTCCAGCTTTAACATCGGTATCGATATCGGTTATCGGCTACATGAGTTTTAAAATATCGGCATATCGGATATCGCCCAAAATCCCAATATCGTGCATCCCTAATTTTTTTATTTTTTTATTTTTTGACTATCAACCACAGAGAAGACTTTGGCTCTATAAAACACGTATTTGAATCTGAATTTGAAACTATATATTATGCCAAGTAGTTTTTCCCTTTTCGGGGGCAAAGCTGGACATGCTAATTGGTTTACCTGGCAATTCACAAATGTACCTTCTTATTTTCCCCAAAGCGGATTTTTAACTTTGCCACAGTATCTCTTTTCCTGTTGGACACATGACATCACCACCAAATTGCTGCGTGGGTCCGACCAAAATAGATCAGGGCTTTACTTTGGTCAGAGCTATCCGAACTCAGTCAGAGAATTGTGTACCGTCTGGCCCGCCCCATGCTTTTTCAATGAGCTTTTTCAATAAGCTCTAAGAGCCACACCCTCATATGGGCTACATTTTCAATGCATCTATTGGTAAAATGTGTTTTCAGGCCTTAATATGATCTAATACAGAGAAATGACACAGCTATGACAATTTCACCATGCTGTATTGCTACTAGGGTTAAAACGATTCATCGGATTAATCGTTATTAATCAATTATTGAAATAATCTTCAACTAATTTAGTAATTAATTAATCGTTAAGTGTACTGTAGTTTAGAGATGCTAAAATATCTCTTTAGCTGCCAGAGCAACCCACTAAGAGCAATAATTATCGGAAGATATGTAAACATTTTGCATTGCAGATAAAAAAAAAAAAAATGTCATCCTTCAGTGGGCTCTATCCAGAACTCCTCAAGTGGAAAAGTGTTAAAAAAAAAAAAAAAAGTTCACCTAGTCTAATTTCGAAAAAAATCTTCTTTAAGGAACACTGGCTATACAATTGTTAGCCAATTATTTAAATATATTTGACAGATGAATTGATTTGCTAAATAGCCATTAGTTGCACCCTAATTGCTACTTTTTGAAGTAATTGAAGTAGTTTGAAGTAATTTTCACAATGCCACTATAATTCCCTGTTTTTTATTTTAAAATACATAACATTGTAGAATAGATTTAAGTACACAAAAAAAAATATCTGGGATTCTGTTGGGATTACTAGGCAATTAACAGAGGATGTTTAAACAGATCCAATAGATGCCCCATTTATCAGTAAATACTCAAAAACATAGCTACGACATTGGCTTTAACTTTTTTTATAGTCGTCATCAGGTATATTTATGGGTTTTCTTTTTGTGTGTGTCTGTTTAAGGGAGTAAACGACGTTCTGCAGGAGCGGTATGCAGTTGAGATGAGGTGTAATGCAGCATTGAGGCTCGCCGCTCTGCATATTCAGGAGAGGCTGGTGAGCAGTGGACAGTCCCCCAAAGCCAACCTGAAGATGATCACGTAAGAAAGTTATAAAAAAAAGTCTTCTTGCCGATTATCACACTAAAGCAAATGCTCATAAACATATCGGAAAAGATCAATGTATTATAAATATGTAGTAACAATAGTCTATTTATATGATGCTATTGGTTCCCTTCCACAATTATACAGACATGCTTCACTAGAAGTTCAATGTATTTATGTTTATAAATAAACTGATCTACCAAGAAGAATAAAATCAATAATCCCCCTATAAAAATAATTTTTACTGATGCTTAAGGGCATATTAAAATACATTTACTCATTTAGCAGAGGCTTTTATCCGCACAGAACCATTATTCAGGTTTTAGCACAGGAGTATGATATCCTTGTACAAGCATCAATTAGGAGATCGATTAAAAGGTGTAAGCCAAATGGGTGAGGAACATTTGATATGTTAGGGCAGGGGTCTTGAATGTTTCCCAGGCCAAGGACCCCCAAACTGATGGCAAGATGGAGCGGGGACCTCCTAATTATATATATTGTATGAAATTGTGTTATATCAAACTGGTCCTATAGTCACTCCATTACAGATGAAGTCATGTAACGAAAATCATTTCTCCTTGGGATTATTAAAGTATTTCTGATACTGATTGCTGGTTGATGGGACAGGTGTTGTGAATGAAATGGTGCCCAGCTTGAAAGAGGTCCTGCGTGTTGCTGAATGTGTGCATTGATAACTGAAAGACAACTTCTGCCTCCATTTATCTGTTCACTACAGTGTGTTGAATTCATGTTAATGTGTAAGACATTTCAATTAGTGGAAAAAAAATGAAGAGAGGAATATAAAAAAAAGTCTAATCAACCCAAACTTTCACGACCCCCATGCTGTACCTCCGTGGACCCCCTAGGGGTTGCAGACCCCTTGTTGAAGACCTCCGTGTTAGGGTATGACAGAAGTTGGTTTGCAGTATTTTAGTAGTTTAATAATACTGGAAATGTGAAATGGAAATCCAGACAAAGTAAAATGTAAGACTAAGTAAAATGTTGGGATTAATAGGAAGGTTTAACTACTATGACTTGGCTTACTGCTTATTCTTTTGAAGTCTCTAGAAAGCACAAATCCTTTTAAGTAAATTGAAGATTGTGGATATTTTTTCAGTTTGGCAGATAATTTCACAAGCTTTGCTGTGAAACTGCAGCCCTGAAGCAACATTAATGACAGCTAAATTGATTTACAATTTGGGTTAAAAGCTGTAAAACATTTAAAATATTAATTGTCTTTGCGCTCTTTATCACAGTCCACTAACTTTAATATTTTTTCATGATAAACCAACACCAAATGTTTTTTTTTTTTACAGGTTTTAGATGTTTGCCTAGGGTTTGTGTTCTGTCTGAGGGTGAACCTCTTCATATCTCAATCCTTGTGGGGCCTCAACAGGTTTTGTATTTTTTTCCAAATCTGCTCAGGGTAATGTGCAATGTGGGTTTTTGTTTTGGACCAAAAGGTTTATTTTGATCCCAACTGCAGTTTCCCTTGCAAAGATTTTGGCAAACTGCAAACAATTTTCTTTCCTCGATGCTCTAGTTATCTATAAAGACAAGGTCAATACAACTGTGACTGATAGCTTGTTCATTGATGGATTTTCCTCCTTGAGCAATGTATCTTTACAGCTCCTCCAGAGTTGCCATAACACTGTTCCCTGCTCAGGTTCTTACTTTAGGAAGTTGGCCAAATCTTGGGAGACTTCTATTGGTGCCCGTTTTATTTCCAGATAATTAATTGAATGATCCTCTGTAAATTGTTTGAAGGCCACAGGAGGTAGGAGATATTTCATCCACATTGAGCATTGACAGCGTGTACATCAGCTTCATTTCTGTCAGTATGCCCCAGGTCAGCTGTGGCTACAATCTAACCTGTTCTTCAGTCTTCATGGTGCTGTTTGGTACAATTTGGAAACAATGTTCTTCAAAAAACCTTTGAGGCCTTCACAGAATGACAGGATTGATACAGCCATTGGTTTCACAAGGTTTCATTTATGGCTGACATGAAAAAACTGTTCTAGGAAACAAAGATACTTCTTATTTCAAATTATTTTTAAGCATTTTGGATGTCTACTTCTTACAGTTACTGGCTAATAAAAAAACAGACCTTTTAGCAGTTTTTTTCTTTTTTTTATGCAGGAAGACTTGGGGGATCGAAAATTTTGTGTCATCGACATTACTGAGGAATATGCGAGAAAAAGATCTGAGGAAGGCCATCATCTTCCACCTGAAGAAAACCCAATCCCATCAGGATCCCAGGCAAAAGGCCCTGTCAGTAGAACAAGCAAGGATCAACTATCTGGAGGAGCTGAGTGATCTCAAATCCTTCGGGGGAAGTTGTTCGGTGCTACTTTGATGGTACTCTTTTTGCTTTCAAGTGGTGTTTTTGCTTTTAAGTAATTGCTGACATTGTCCAACAACTTTTTTATTTATTCATCTGGGGGGGAAAAAACATCTATTTGCTCTTTCTTTCTCTCTCCCTTGGGTTTTGGTTTCTCCCGTTAGCTTCAGGATAGGGAATCGATGGTGAGCCTCCTTGTTGGAGCGCGCTATGGGGTGAGTCAGGTGGTCAACCACAAGCTGAGTATCATGACAACTCTAACAGAGTTTAACAGCATCACTCGCGTCGAGCTGCTTCCCGAATCAGACAAAGTCAGCCTCGTCAAAATATACCTACAGGACATAAAGGTAAGATCCTAGAGCATTAAGCACACTAACTTGTACCTGATGTTCATTCATAAAGGGATTATATCATCATTTTGACATGGCCTTAAAACCCACCTTTTTAGGAGAGCTTTTATTGAACTTTTGCCCTTTTACCTGTTGACTTTGTTTAGTTTATTCTAGCTTTTTTTCATGCTCTCCATGTGTTTTTAATTTAGCACTTACCTGATTTACTATGCAGCACTTAGGGATTTGTATAATTATAAAGTGCATTACAAATCCAACGTATTATTATTATTATTATTACTATTTTGACAAATTTTCCCTTTCCGTTGTTTTAAGACCTGTAGCTTTATTTCTGTTTCTGTAGCTAAGACAGAGAGTAGCCTGAAAAAGAGAAAATGGGTGCTGAGAGCACAGCCGTATACTGGCGACATTACATTCAGAACACCTTGGTCAGACCTCAGTGGATATGATAGAGGCTACCAACAAACAAAGTAGTAACAGTAAGGTCACCAGCTCAAATTAAGAGAGAATTAGGAACAGATTCATGAGGGAATTTATCAAGTGAGGTGGAGGAAGTCAGGAGAAATGCTTCCTATCTCCTTGTTTCCACTGGGTTTGGAGGCGGCATGTACATGGTATGGGCGGGCCTTCGCCAGGCCGTTGAAGCTGATCACAGCAATAGTAGTCGATCAGGATGGTTCCACTGAATGTGCCATTGTCAGAGGCAACCAAAGAAAACTCAAATGTAGGACTCAATTCAGGGAAGTGAAGTCAAAAAATAATTTAATCTACTTCAGCACAATGAGTTGGAGCAACTGACAAAAAAATCCCCAAAAAACAAAGGCTTGTCAAAAAACAAGTAGAGCAAATAGCTTAGCTGCTAGACAAGGCAGAACAAAGGCAGGAACGCTTAAACAAAAGTGACAAAGATGAACTGTCAAAGAAGGCTGCAGAAGGAGAGAAAAGGGGAAGTGAAGTAGTCTGAAACAAAAACTGAAATTTTTACATTTTTTTAAAGGTTACTTTATACTTTTATACTTTAAGTAGTTTTTAGAGCACATACTTTTTCACCTTTACTTGAGTAAAGAATCAAGTTGATACCTCAGCTTTTACCAGAGTGTTTTTAAACTGCAGTATCCATACCTTGACATAAGTAACAATGTGTGTACTTTCAACACCACTGTAAAAGACTAGATTGCATTTTCTGGACCATAAAGAATGTGAACATTTAATTTAAGAAATAAAGGAAAAACTAAAGATTAGAACTCACCTATACATGATGGATCCAAAGAAAAAAAAAAGTATGTGGATTAGGTAAGAGCAGGCACATAAGATACTAGTACCACTGCTCCCCGAGCACCACACAATGGCAGCCCACTGCTCCCCAAGGGGATGGGTCAAATGCAGAGAGTGAATTTCCCCATTTTGGGACAATAAAGGGATTTACATTTTGGTTTATTGTTCTATATAAAGCTAAGTGCCGTATTATACTGTGATGAGGAAATCCTGATGTGATCAGAGTCCAACCACTACCAGAGGAATAGGGTGACCGTGAGAAGCATGTACGCTCCGCTTCCACATCCAGCGGAACCGATTGGTAAGAGACCATTAGTCTGTAGACCTAACAGACTGGAACCCAACTCAGGGATTTAAAAGCTCTCAGTTTTCAAGTAATTTGCCTAAATAAAAAATCTAAGATTCTATCAGCATAAAGGGTTAGTTTATTTGGTATAGACTAATGTTCTATAATGTTATCAATAATGGCACGCTTATCTGTAGTATGAAGATTTAGAGTCCTGTGAACTTTGATGCTCAGGTCCAGCCTGATTAAATTAGCCAATGTCTGTTTATCTTGTAAGCATCAATAGATGATTCATTTACTCTCCCAAAAGCTCACTGTTATGACATGTTTTGGCTACAGGTACGCAATCTATTACCAATTACAGATAAACAGAACTTAATTTCCTCAAAAAATTAAACTAACCATTAAAGGTAATTTTGATCATTTCTGTTCTGACTTTATGAAGAATCTTCCATGACCCCCTCGTCCAAACCTTTTGTTTTCCTTGTGCATAGCCCATCACATTACTGTTGGAAGCAAGTGCAGCAAAGGATATGTCCTGCCTCATAGCAGGGTACTGCCGCGTGTTTATTGACCCCAACCTCAATGTCTTCCCTCGGATGGATGACAAGAAACACAGAGTTTCTGCAGAAGAAGGTACATTATCACTTTGTAGCATGTAGGTATTTTAAAGTGAACTTTTAAGACTTGTTAAAGCAATAAAATTCCTCTTACATTTTCTATATGGTAGATTTCCAAAATGATCTATTTTGATGGCTTAGAAAGGATTCTGGAAAATAAAGATCAGTCTTTAAATTTGTATTTATGCTCAAGATGGAAAGAAAATAACTACAGTTTGGAAGAAAATGACCAAACATGTACTGTAGGTTGTTTCCTTTACTTATTGTATTATATTGTGTGTTGTAACGCAGGAAAAGACAAATATTCAAATTATATCTTTTTTAAATAAGTCTCAAACTTCAAAGTTTTTATTGGGTACAAAACTGATATATGAATACTGATATATTAAATTATCCATAGTTGGATTCTACTGTCCAGTGTTTAATTTGCATAATGAGGCATATTATAGTGAAGGAGATTAACACCAACGAGGTTAAGACAATGACTTTTCACATTTTTCTAGTGTATAAAATCAATATAAAATATACCGAGGTTGCAGTAATTGTAACTGTAGGACCTCAAGGTGACATGTATTGTAAAGTAGCATTCTATAAATAAACTAATTTGAATTGAAATAGTAATCTGAGAAAGCTGTAGGTCTGCAAGTTGTGTTTTCTGTCATAATGCTGCTTTGAATGTCAAAAAATTGGGTTGTATTGTTCAACTGACCGTTGCTCTGATATGGGCTTACAGGTTACGTGTCACGATGTGGAAGTGACTCTGAGGACTCTTCTGACTTGGATATGGAGCCATTGTACAGCCTGGCATCTCAAGATGACCAAACCTCTCCTTGTGTTAAATCCTCGTCAGACCCTGACGGAAGGAAAAGGAAGGACAGGGACCTGATGAGAAGCAAATACAACGAATCTAAGGGAGAGATACCTGTGGAGAGCAAAAAACTTAAACAAGAGAATTCTCCTGATACTGCAAAGGAAACATCTTCACTAGAAAACAATGGAGGGAGAGAAAAACAAGACATGGTGGAAGTACAGAGACATGATTCAAAAATACAGATCCAAATAACAGACGGTTCAGAGGGACAGAAAATAAACCCTGGGACTGGAGAAGAAGAGCAGCCGACTGTGTCAGAGGCATCAGATTCATGCCATACTGACTCCCGTGTCCTCAGCAGTCCCTCCAGTGACTCTCTCGATGCCCTGGAGGAGGATGATTTAATTTCCTGTTCCTCCTCATCTGTCCAGACTCATGCTCGGTCACAGGCTCATGTTTGTACCCACTCCCCTATTCAGCTTCACTTCCACTCTGACGGCCGCATTCAGCCTCACCTCCTTGCTCCTCCGCCACTTCACTCTCACCCCCTTATTCACCTCACTGTGGTTAACTGTGGGAGGGAGCCAGAAGAAGGAGAAGGCAGCAGCAGATCAGGTGATGGTGCTGATCCTAAGCTTATCTCCACCCTATCTCAGAGCCCCAAAGTTCAAAAACATTCAAGTGAACTCTGCTCAGCGGACAGCTCCCTGTGCTTTGCTGAGCTCTCCCGCCTTGTAGACCTCCTGCCGAGCCCTCCTGAGGCTAGCGAGGATGATGATGCTGAAGAAGACGATCTGCAGCGAAAGGCAAAGTTACAGTGCGGTATAAGTGGGACTCTAAGAACGGATGACAGAAGAGGTGTTCAGGGGCATCCTCTTTCTACTTCTCCGTCATCCCCATCTTCCCACAAAGACTTTTTTTTTAACTTTGACCAAAGCGATGCTCGCTGCTACTACAACCTCTGCTCCAACATCACTCCTGACAGCGCTCACAACCTTCCAGGCCCTCAGCATCCTAACAGTGGAGGGTCGCATAAGACTGAGGTGAAGACTGCAGACCCTGAGCCAGTTCCCATCCTCCAGCCGCCACCTGGATTTGGGGACAGCAGCTCTGATGATGAGTTCTTTGATGCAAGAGATCGCTTCACCTCACCTGAAGATCCAACGTCAGGGGCCGTCCCAAGAGGTGACTTAACTTCAGGCACACATCCATGCTGATAAAAACAAAGTTATGTCTTTGCTGCCATCTAGTGGCTGTGACTTTTAATACACCAAAGGAATCAAGTAATGAATTCCAAAGCAATTTTTTTTTTTATTAAATAAGCATATGTGTTGTAAATAAATGCAAACTTTAAAAAAACATAGCTACAAAGAAGTATGATTAAAGAATGCCAAAAAACAGTTATATGGGTAGATTGTTCCACTACAAACTATCATTGAAACCCCTGATAGAATACTTCAATTAAATTATTAATAAAATGATTTTACATCACCCATCAGTGCATCTTTCTTAATTATAGCACCATCAGAATTATGATTAGCATAGATCCAGTTATACATTTAAAGATTTTTTTTTTCTATATTTTGATTAATCCAGTTTGGAGTAGGGCTGAATAATTTAGTGTTATTATAATCCTAATTTCAAAATCGGTGTGTGATTGATTGGCTAATATAATTAAAGAATCATGAGTCCATGATGAGTGCCCGCTGGCTCAGAATTTGCAGCAGCGATTTTCACTTCGTTGAAGTTTGAAGTAGAATTGAAGTGAAGAGAAAGTGTGGTGATCGTGACAGATATTCTAATTGCAAAATGTATCCATAACACTGCCATTGCAAAGATTTTTCATATGGTAGAGCCTGAAACCCAGAATTTATTTTTTTAGAAGATCAGAGTAATGTATAAAACCATTAAAAAAGTGAAATTTTTTCACAAAACTGTCAGCCTGATTAATAAAACATATCTGTGTTCTGTACTGTAAGCTCTGTTTGCAGTCAATGTTTGGTTATGGCTTATCGTAGATTTTGCACTTCATAGAAAAGCTGTTGAATGGCTTGGATCAGTCTTGAGCTGTTCTGAGGTGTTAATGGAGTCCAGATTACTCTAAAGGACTTATGACCTCATATATTACAAATACAGTCCTTCATAATTTGTCTTTAAATTCACATTTGATCATTTTCAGGAGAAACCGAAATTAGTAAAAAAAACTACAAATAAAAAATGTATTTCTTACAATAGCGAGAGTTCGACTCGAGTTCGAGTTTATTAATATATCTGTTTCATTTCTCTATCTCAGTATCAATTGGCAAAAGTCACTCACCCACCTACATTTAAGGTTCCTTGGAGAAGTACAATAACTATAATAATTATTATTATTATAATTTTAACAAAAAACATGGGCTTAACAGACCATAGATGAAAGTAGAAAATCCTGAAATTTTCAGTGTTATTCATAAATATTCACACTGATACAAAATGCCTTTTGTCACCCTGGCCAATTTTGTTCTTTTCTTTCTTTCAGGAATTCAGATGAATAAGAAGCTTGACTCCAACAGCTTTGTCAGTCTGAGTGATATCAGAGTCTCTGTGATGGACATAAATAAAGATAAAGGGGCAGAAATGGACAAGCAGAAAGAAGAAGAGGAAAGAGGAAGCAAAGAAACAATGTTCCTCCTCCGGAAAAGGTCCAGAAAGCGACGCTCTTTCATGGAGACTGATTATACCTCTCAAGTGACATATCCAGAGTCTGATCTGGATTCAGAATCCAATTTAAACTCTTGTAGGCTTCAGAAAAACATATTGACTGATTCAAGTGATAATACAATACTGACTTCAGATCCAGAACCCTCAGAGCAAACCCAAAATCCAAGCCTTACCGTCTCCTCTCTCACGCATGCTGAAGGAGAGCCAGCTCAGCTCGAGTCCAAACCCATCCTTTCAAAGCTCCACTCACATGGACCGGGCTTTCTTTCTGCTTCTGAACAGACCAGAAATTTAAAGCCTCCTTCCAGAACAAGGAAACAGGAAATGGAGATGGAACCAGATGCGATGGAATCCAAATCAGTCACTGATCTTGTGAAGGTGGTGCCTCCTACCATCACTGTTGTCCGCTGTCGGGTCGATCCAGACGGAAAGGAGAGTGCAGATCGGAGAGGAGATGGGAAGGAGGAAGGGGAAGATCAGGAGGAGATGAGTGGAAGGAAGGGGGAATCGAAGGAGGAGAAGCCAGCTTGTTTAACAGGAAATGGACCATTCACTACTCATATGTTTTTACCTGATATAATTGAGGAGGAAGAAAAAGATGACGTGAAGAAAGAGAAAATGTTTCAGTTATCATCCAGTTTAAAGAGACCCCTTGTGGGCGCTGAAATATCACAGGACGCTACCTTAATTCCTAATAGTTTAACAGAAGTAAATAAAAACGTGGTCACTACCCAGATAAACACACATGTGGATAAGCATTTCCCTCCGTTGATTACATCGCCACCACCTCCCCCACCATCACGGCTTCTCCCTCAAACTCCCACTGGACTCAAACTGGATTGTGAGACTCTGGTCAAAGAAGCAGAACTCCACAAAACCATTGAAACCTCAATCAAACTATCTGCTTTAAATTTAAAAGAAGAAATCAGTTGCCACAGTGACACTGCACAGTCCATAAAACAGACCTTGGTGAGCATAAATGATGAGGAACTCATTGGTATTCAGGAATCTACAGAAAGCTCTAATTCAGACAATGTTTTTGAGGATGAAGATGATGCACACACTAGTTTTTCACCAAATTGCACTTCAGACGAGCATCAATACGACAGGACTGTAAGTGCAAATAGTTGCTTAACGCAGGGAACTACAGACAAATTACACATTGAGGCACAGCTTCATTTAAATTGTGAAGAGCAAATTAGGGGACTTAATGCAGATCACATTCTAGCTATAAAGTCTATTAGAGCTAAACTTGAAGCTACAACCAACATCATATCTTCTCTTAACTCAGGAACAGAGCTGAAAAACATGGGCATATCAAAACCAAAAAGTGATTCCTCCTTGGTGGGTGGCGCCACTGCAGACAGTTCAGGAAGTCCCAGCATTGTGATCCCAAAAGCTGCCACTCTGAGCGATCTATCCAAAGACTTAACACCTCCAGCTCGTTTTCTCTTCCAGACTTATTCACCAAGTATCATGGGCCGTTTATCGGCCTCAACACTAAGGGGGAAGATTCAAAACTTGCCTCTTTATTTGTCACGTTCCCAAGAAAGTCTGACTCAAGCAGGAGTTGAGAGTTCTGCACAGAGTCCAGCAAAGGAAGCTTGCAGGAATGAGGCATATCCCCTCGACGGCTTCCATGATATCCCACAAACATTTGACTTGGAGACGGGCTTGGCACCTGATTCAGCCGAATCAGATGATTCAGATGCAACTTTGACTGGATCTGAATTGGATGGGGAGTTTTTTTTGGAAACAGCCTCAGCACAGAGATCTCCATTGACACCTGAGAAAAAAGAAGTCAGTTTTGAGCTGCCTGTGCAGACGGAGCCCAAGCAGCATCATCAAACCCTATATGCCGGACCTAATGACAATACACCAGGACCGGTGACAGAGCCTCCTACATCCATCATACATTTTTTTCAAAGAGATAGCTCTGGGTTGAATGCACATATGCCAGGACCCATTAAAGATGCCCCAGAGTTAAATATAAGGGTCAAGAATCTATCTGAAGACATTCCAGGGTATAAAGACAGCAGCCAGTCTCCGATTGTGGTCACAACCCAGAATCTGAATGGTCCACAACTTGCTTTTTATGGTCAGTCCCAAAAAGTCAGAAGGACAAGTAATGACAGACCTTTGATGGGTCTTTGCAGACCTTTAGAGCAAATTTCAGACCCATCAAAAGTTCCTTCTACTAGTTGTGAAGTGTTCACCATCTGTGAGGATCTGTCTCAGAAAAGTCCTTCATCTGACCTGGTTTCTGCTACACCCCTAAAGGCTGAATTTGGTTGCAGCTCTTTGTTTGCATCAGGGTGTGAGTCTGTAGCAGAGAGTGTTCAGATTCCCCTGGACGCCTGTGGCTGTCCAGCATCATATACAAACTGCTTCAGTGGGGAAGAGAGCTTTGATGATGAGCTTACAGTCTATGAGTTCTCCTGTCGCTCTCAAAACAGCAGCATTTCTCAGACCTCCAGGGGAGGTCTTCATCTCATTACATCTCCAACTGCTCCCTCCTTCATCTCCACCTCCTCCACCCTGTCCCCATCATATCCTAACCCCATCCTTTTATCCACTTCTAACTCTGAACTCAGCCCTCTTCTCTCACCCCCCTCAGAATCCTCCAACTCATATTTGTCTCAAGCGCACAAGGACACTCTCCGTCATCTGGGTCAGCAGCACTATCCAGAACCCCCTGAAGGTTTCCAAGTTCTTCGCAGAGATGTAGATAAACTCCTGACAATTTTGGAAGGTAGCAACAGCTCTGACCGATCTGTGGAAGGGCTGGGGGGTCGCCACCCAAGGGACACATGCCCTGCACATTTCACAGAGAACAAGAGGGTACTGCAGTTGGAGGCCAGACGGCTGATGTCTGGTTGCCAGAAAGTGGCAGGCACTGGCCAGAGCCCAGACGAAATGCTCAAGTTCCTGGCTGACAGTTTCCAGACATTGGTAGAGCTTGCCAGCGTGTGCCTCTGGTTCTCTGGTTGCGATAGGTGCGATCGAAGGAATGCAGAGGCATGGGCAGGGCTGGCTGATGTTGCCCGCTCATTCAGGGACTTCTGCTTGGCGGCAGAGCGAGCCAGCAGCAAACGTAGTTGCCAGGACCTGAGCACCAAGCTGTTGGCAAAACAGTGCACAGCACTTACCGCCTCAGTCTTCTGTCTCACGCAGCTGTTCCGCACCCTCACTGCACTATGAGAGCACCACAACCTCAGAGATGGTGTCATGTCCGACCCAGAGCTGTTGTTTTATCAGCTGAGTCAAAAACATTACGGAGCCAAGTTTGATGCAGTTAACAGTGATCATGTGTAGAAGTGCATGTGATGACTTTCTTTATGCTGCACAATTTACGCTTAACACAAACTGGATTTTTGGTATATAGGAACTAATATACTTGAATGTATTCTTTATCTAACAAGCATATTTATTTACTTATTTATTGTACGGATTGCTACTGGGTGTATGAAGCAGCTTAGAATACCGGTGAAAGAAGTGTTTACAGGCCACTTTATAAGCAGGAGAATATGATTCTTAGATCACATACTCAAAACACAGAGTAAATGTCTTTTCCTTACTAATACACAGGCCAGGATAAATCTACCGTTTACTTCTGCTTGCATACAGTGCCTTGCAAAAGTATTTTTTCGCATTTTGCCATGTTCCAAGCACAAACGGGTTTTCAGTGAGATTTGTGATGGACCAAAACAAAGGAGCATATATGTGTCAGGGGAAGAAAATATATTTTCAACTTGAGATTGACACATATTTAACCCTCCTGGGTAAATGATTTTAGATGCATATTTTATTAAATGACAGCCATGAGTGTGATGAGCAGCTTTAGTTTTCCCCCCAGAGTATTTTGCTTTTAGCTCCAAATATTCAACTAATTATTTCCTGCTTTGAATGTTATTGTAGTGTATTGGTCTAAAGGAGATTAGACATTTTTTTTTTCTTTTCTTTAAAGTAATGTGTTTTCACAATGCCCTGCAGTATTACTTTGTGATGTCTATCACTTTATATCTTAATAAATTGCATTGAAGTCTCTGGTTATAATGGGAAATGTAACAAACGTTTAAAGGGGTGTGAACACTTGCAATGCGCTGTAATATACTGTATCTTTCTATAGTCCTGTTCGTCTGGGAGGAACTTTTTTGACTGTTACTGTTTACAAAACCAAAATGTAGCCTCAGATGTCATTCGAAAGAGTCAAATCTTAAGTTGTTTGCTATTTTATTTAGGGAGACTGGGGACAGTTGCAACACTATTTTCTTACCTTTCAACTACACATAGAAGATTGTGCCTGCATAAACCATTTTTATTAAACTTAGACAGATTTTTCACAATAGTCAATAAGAAAAAAAGTTCAACTGCTGTATGTCATGAACCGAGGACAGAGGGACCCAGTATTCAGGAGAGACAGTCAGTAGGAAAGTTCAAAAGATTTATTAAATTAAAACAAAGCGGAGCTGTGGCTCGCGGACACTGCAGGCGGGGGGCGGGGCACCGCCCAATCTCAGACACTCTGGGGGAGAAACACAGGTAAGTGACCACGATCAACCGATAGAAGTTTAACTGTGTTGGTCACTTACCTGGTTTAACAGTCCAGACCACGAGTGTCCCCAGTGCTGCAGTCCCAGAGGTGATGGAGGAAGCTGATCCTGGTGAGGGATCCAGAACAGACAGAAACAGGCAGGATCCAGATCAGGCAGGAACAGAGACAGGTGGCAGGATCCAGACTTCCAGGCATCCACAGGCTTCCAGGAGGGTTCAGAGTCTGACTGGGACCAGAAGCATGACCAGTTGGTCACGCACAGGAGCAGACAGGATCAGGTGCAGACTGGCAGGCACAGTGGAAGAGGGTAGCCGAGACAGGACGTAGGAACCGGAACTTGAAGCAGACTTTAAACTGGTCTCCACCCTGGAGCCAGGCTTACTTAGATAAAAACTGAACCTCCCCCCATAATGAGCCAAAAACCCAGAGGACTCCACAGGGGAGGAACAGTGAGACAAACACTAAAACCCTCATTCCACTGGCAGCTAGGATCCAGGACATGAACCAAATAAAAACTGAACAGAAAGACTGACAGAAAGACAAGCAATGATCTGGCACTGAATGCTCAGGCTGAACTGAATATAAACCAGAGGAAACAGGTGAGAGGAATTACTAATTAAGGGAGAGCAAACAGGCCAGATCATGACACTGTAACTGTCTTTATCCCAGGGTGATTGCAAAACCTCTATTGGACTCTTGTATCGTGTCAAAAATAGGTTATTTCACAAATTAAATGCTTGGTCTCAATAAGAATATACTGAAAAAATAAATAAATATATATATAGGCTATATATATATATATATATATATATATATATAGGCTATATATATATACATATATATATATATATATATATATATATATATATATATATATATATATATATATATATATATATATATATATATATATATATATATTTCATAAATCCTAAATAAATAAACAGCAACATTGAGCTCTAAAAGTTAGTTTATATTTTTAAACTAACTTTTATTAAACGTCCAACACAAAAAAAAAAACAATTTATTAAGATCATCATCCCAAAAACACAGTGAGAAAATTAGAAGAAAAAAAGTTTTTAAAAACAGTATTTTAGGAGCACAAACATACTAAATAGTTACTAAACCTTTCTTAAAATAAATATATTTTTGGGATTCCAAATGATAATCTAAAAAAAACAGTTTCCCATGAGTCAGATTCACAGTTGTGACATGTAAAAATCACCTCCAGCTGTGCAATCTTTTCACACCCAGGTCTGGCATATCAAGCACCTCAGCCATGCCTCCCTGGAACTCGATTAGCTTTTCAGCTTGGGGACGGTTGCAGCCATCCCTTATTGCAACTGTCCCTAGTCTCCACTACATAACAGTGGAATGCTGGGGTTTGTGCATTACATGTTAAGTTTGCATGACCTGCATTCAGTTAGATGCAACTTTGTGTAAATATGTGCTGATGTTTATGAAAATTTAAATACTTAGATTTGTATTATTAGCTTTTTATTAGCTTTTGTGTTTGTGTGTCAACTTCCTGTTTCTGCACCTGCAGTTAAAAAGATTGAACTTCCCTATGCATATGGATGGACATTTATTTCTTTTAGTAAGAACACTGTATCTTAAGAATATATTTCTCCAATTGCTGTTTATTGTATAATTTCGTTTCATGATTTTCTTTACTTTTGAAGATTTTAAGAATCATAAATTGCATATCTCCCTTTTAAGGAAGTGTAAACCTACACAACTGTGTTTGAACTCTACGTGCAGTCAGGGACACCCAGTCTTCACTCACACCAAGTGCTTTCAATGGATGACAGCTAAGTGCAAGAATTCGGACACAGCAGAATCTGATCACGAATATTCCAAGCTGAGCATAACCCCAGAATGCAGAGATGAATCCTGATTGTCTTGATCATGAGTTTTTTTTTTGGCTTATGTGTGCAGTTCACTGAAAACCTCACTTAAGGCCTGCCAAATTTGAGATCCTGTTGTCAGAATTCATGAAAACCTGATAACATATGGTACTAAATTCTTATAAATGTCCAATTACCTGAGGCATTATAACCATGATAAGCATTTTCACTTGGAATGATTCATAAAATAAATTGCCTTGAAGCACACCGGAATTGCATGTTGACTGGAAAAATATTTATTAGGAGTTCTTCTACCACTTCAGTGCTGGGAACACCTTTTTTATGCAATCACCGTTTCTATTTATAATAAAAACAATTTAAAGGCTTTACTTACTGACATGTACTGTTTTGTTCAATTGATTGCAGAAGGTAATATATATTTTCCTGAACGTCACTATTTAGCATCAGAAGGAAAAAAACAATCCTGTTTTTACTGCAGCGATGATGTGAAGCTTAAAAATCCTTATTTCTCCTCACAAAGCATGCTCTTATAAGCCATAGAATACATTGTTGTTTCATCAGGGATTTAATCTTTGAACAACTGAATGGTGATCTCTGCTTCTTGCTTTGTAATGCTTAACTTTCACCATTAAAAACTATTTTATGAAAGTCTATTTTTCAATTATTTCTTTCATGTTAAAGTCAGCACACAACTTTTTACATATAATATTAAGAGAGAATTTATTTTCACAAAGCAATCATTTGTTTCAACATAGTTGTATTCTGAATATCACTACATGGCTGAATATGCTGAATGGATCCATTGAGATTTAGATTTTTCACAGCACATGTCATCTCATGGCACTTTAGAGACAATCCAATCAGATCATCCAGTCAGAATGGTTAAACATTTTCTATATAAGGAAACCTAGCCGATTGCATCGCGTCATTAACTTAGCAGGATTTTCTCTTCCTGTATGATCGTTATGGTAAACTAGCTCCATAGATGGCTCTGTCTAGGGAAGAAACGGTTTAGCAGATAAGCTCTAAGCCAGTTTTGGTGTCATAAGGGATGAGAGAGAGTACAAGCAGCTATACTAAAAGCTAAGCAAAAAACAGTGTCTTGAAGGGAAGCAGAAGTCCTGAAAAGGCCCAGTTCTATGAACTACAACTGGAGGGCAGCAGCCCAGCTGATATATAACAAAGTTAGGGCTAGAGGTGGGTAGAGTACCCAAAAATTGTTCTCCAGAGTAGTGCTACTCTATTTTCTTTCTTTTTTTTACTCAAGTAAAAGTGAAAAGTAGTCATCCAAGAAATTACTCAAGTAAAAGCAAAAAAGTATTTGGTAAAAAGGTTTCTTGAGCACTGAGTAACTGTTGGAATATTACATCAGAGTTAATATTTACTAAAGATGCTGTAAAACAGACTATGTGCAACTTCTGGCATTTTAAAGAATCAAATGGCTAAAGAATACAAATAAATGTCATTTATGTAAAAGAACAAATTCATTCCAAGAAAATTCTTTTACCTTTTTTTCCCCAACATAAAACTTATAAAACCAATCCTTACAATGAGAACTGTATATCTGTTAGGATAGGGTAACAAACTTCCACTATTAATATCCAATCCTTGCTGTATGTTTACCTGATTTTGGAATAGTTTAAGTCACTCACAGAGAATAGAGTAGTCAGAGATTTTACTCAGGTTTGAGTAGCGATACCTTACAAATATAATACTCAAGTAAGAGTAAGAGGTACAGCACAGTAAACCTAATCTTAGAAGTAATTTTATTCAAATTGTTATTCAAGGGGTTGAACTGACAATAATGCAAAATTGAAGAATAGAATTAGAATGAAGCAGAGTGATGAAAAGTGGTTTCTATTTCATCAAGGAGCCTAAAACCATAGCCGTATAAATATATACTGCTATTTTTATATATTTAGAAATTATTGGAACCCCTAGTAAACCTGCAGATTTAGAGAAAAGTGCTCTGTTGGAACCATAATGAACAGATCTCTTCTGGATTTAAGCAGGAGGCAATGAAGGAAAGATGACTGCACCTGTCAGCTCGGTAGTCAAAAACATAGCATTACAGACAACAGAGAATAAAGTCAGATGTTTAAGGGAGGTCAGGATGGGCAATATCAAAACCTAAATGGAACTACCTGCTAAAGATAAGGGGAGACAAGTTTTGTATATGAAATTAAGCTATACATTTGTATAGCACAATTCAGTTAAAGGAAAACTCAGAGTGGGCTGCTCAGTGGGTAGCACTGCTGCCTTGCAGCTGGAGATAGGCACCAGCACCCCTAGTGACCCCACTTGGGATTAAGCGTGTTAGAAGATGGATTGTTGGATGGGAAACTGAATGTGCCTCACATGACCATTGAAGAAAAATAAAAGCAGAGTAAAAACAAGTTAAGATAAAACATGATAAATGCAGGTAGTAAAACTAAATGGTTGGACCACAACCTTAAACTAATAAGAAAATGGAAGACTGCAATCAAGACCCCCTAGGTCATTTTGAATATCTGGTAATGCCTTTCAGTCTCATGTCTTCTATAGAACCTACTCTTTGTCACGGTCGAGAACTGTTAGTTTAATGCCACATTAATCACCTTTTTGGGCCACATTCTCGAGAGTGGACAGGTGAAGACAGATCCCGAGGAGGTTCAATCCCTTCTCGGTTGGCCTGCTCACTCGCAAGCAGCTACAACGTTTTTTAGGATTCACCAACTTATAACAGATTCATTGAAAATCACAATCAAACTGTTCAAACCTTCATCTCCTCCAAAAGATCTTTCATTTGGTCACCTGAAGCCAAAAGTCCTTTTTGAGCTCAAGAAAAGGTTTGTCAATGTCCTGATTCTGATTCAGCCAGATCTATAGAAACAGTTTGTCCTTGAAGTCAATCCCGCTGATTTAGGGGAGGGGACAGTACTTTCTCAAATTAATAAACTTTATCCATGT